TAAAGGGGGGAGGGAGGGAGGGAGGAAGGAAGGAAATGTTAATCACAGAGTCTAGCATACATAAGAGGTCAATAAGTAATAAATATTTGTTAACACCACCAGTCCTTAAAATGAGAATTCTCCACCCAGTGGCACCTTGGCCACTTAGTGGTCCCTATGTGCAAAGGCAAATGAAATTTATCTGGGTCTGACAAAATAAACAAGCCCATTCACACAAACATCACAAATGAAGGCTAAGGTTCCTCCTCCATTGCCCATCCTAACCGTGGCTCTGAGATACAGGAGGCCAAGTGCACAGAAATTGGATGGCAAAGCCAGGGCAGAACTCAAGTACAGAGCAACTTCAAATCAGTGCACTTCAGACATGGGAGAACATAAGTAGTAAGAATGAAAAGGGTGCTGGGGAAATAGAAGGAAAATATGTCGGGGAGGGGGGGCATGTTTTAGGTAAGTCAGAGTAAACAAAGAGGTTTTTAAAAAGAGATACCAGGAGACCTTTTAAGGCCTTTATTGCCTACCTCTGGGGAGAGCGGGGAAATCGCAATCAAAACATCAAAGGTCCAAAATCCAGGGGAAATCTAACTCTTCCTATCTAGCTGGCTAGAACAGTTAAACCTAAAATGGGAATCAGATTTCTGGCTGTAGGTTTCATACGCTGGTCCCGGCCACCCTCCACTCACCGTAGGGAGCGCAGAAAATTCCTTGAGGCTGGGTGGGCGGGAGCGGGTGAATTCGCTCTCCCGCTATGGAGATCCCGGAGCGCAGTCTACGCAGTGGTTCTGTGCGAGCAGGAGGCGCGCACTGCAAGGAGCATCTGGGGGCACCCGGCGCTGAGTTTTGAGCCTTGCGTGTCCCACAGCCTGAGACAGGAGGGCAGCTTCTCTCGCCCCAAACTCACCTGCTTTTTAGAACCACTTCCATCTACTCTCCGGTCTCAGCATTCACAGAATCCTCCACGGTCCACAGGTCCGCCGTGTAAGAGAAGGAAGGGTAAAGGGGGCAGTGACTGGGATGCGAGGTCACCAGGGTCCCTTTCCTGGCTGGGTCGTGGAAGTGGTGGGGGGAGGTTGCAAACCTGCTCGTCTCCTCCCCCCCAAGCCGTGGGAATGCTTGTGGAGGCGCCTCGCTGGGGGCGCCAGGGACCTGGCGAGGGCAGGGCACCCTGGACTGGCTGCGGGCAAAAACTTTAAGTCCTCTAGCGGCAACTCTGCGGGAAAGACCACCGTTCCTACGGCCCAGGTCGTGCCTCTCCCCGGCCTGCTCCCCGCGCCCCGGCCTGGCCCCC